AGTTCACACAAATTTGAAGTCGCGAATGAGGCGCTGCTCAGACACTGGGACCGGCCGAGACGCGGCCTCAAAAGCTTTCCGGCCCGTCCGCGGCCTTAATTTGTGGGCGTGGCCGGAGTGCGGCCGAGCCGCGGACCTTAATTCATGTTTCTATCATCGCACCGGCCGAGCCGCGGACTGAATATGGCTAACCGGCTCAGCCGCGGCCTTAATGATGGGGGTGGAGAATTGCACGGGCTGAGCCGCGGACCAAAATCTTTATAATGAAACTCCGGCCGAGCCGCGGCCCATGTCAGTTAAGGTCCGCGGCTCGGCCGCTCCCAGAATCTGAACATAAAGAATACTTGCGTGATGTACGACGCATGATCAGGCTGCCCTCATTGCTCATAGCCTTCGATGTCCTTCCAGACTTCAAGGCGGAAACAAGATCAATACGTTGTACATCCTTGGATAGCACCTTGTGTTGTTCAACGTTGAAGTCGGACTTGGTATCCGAAGCCGCTATATAGGTGTTCTCAATTTTTGTTTTTTACTGTGTAATTCTAAGTGCCAGTGAAAGAACAGTTCTACTGTATCCGAGCTGAATGAACTAGACGGCCCGACAAGCAGCTCCGGCTGAGCCGCGGCCCAAAAGCGGACGAGCCGAGGCTGTTTTCCGGTCGAGCCGCGGCCCCTCTCCGGCCGGGCCGCGGACGCTGCGAAATTCCAGCCGGAAAAGGGCCGAGGCTCGTCTGCTCCCAGTGTCTCAATGGGGCCCCGCCATGCCGTACCTATATCAAGTGCGCAGTACGGCTAAAATTTGACGCCAAACTTCTTGTTTTTCATACTTTTATGCTTTTTTCTTCTTAACTTCATACAGAGTCTAAGTTCTGATAATATGTCACCTTTATACGTCGTTCATACCGTTTAAACAAATATCTCAAACTTCATAGTTTTTCATCCAATTAGGAGGAGGTGAGCAATCTTGCAAGATTTTGAGGTAAGTCTGCTATCTTCGGTACTGTCGTAGTTAGAAAGAGTAAAGTATTTTTTAAGCTGTAGAAGTTTCAACTTCCTTCTCACTGATATAAGAAATGGTTCCTTACGCCGTGTTCCTATTGGAAAGCTTTTCTAAGTCGATCATAGTAAGGCAAATCTAGACTCATCTCACTATATTCTGCGAGTTTTTGCCGAGCTACATGTGGGCCAGGGCGACCTCGCAAAGGACGGTTCTGAATGTTTGTCGCACGGTTTCGTAAGTTTTTGCGAGCCGAGCGCATTTTTTGGCGCTCGCATACAGCGCCGCTTGTTTGAGATGGCTTTGCAAAATTCTGTCCCATATTCTCAAAACGTCACTTCAAGGGGTTTAGGAAAAAATGGCTATGCGCTGGCAGATTGGTACTTAAGAATTACATAAGCTTAACTCTGGGTTATCGTTGACTGAGACAAGTTTCATGAATTTTAAGTAAAGTCCACTGGTTTTCGACCACACAAGCCAACAGTTACACAAGATTAGAAGCCTTATCATTTTTCAAGTATCAAAGCACGAATTCTAATGAAAATGTGGCAAGCAGTTCATTTTATCAGATCATTAAACTGAATTTCAAAGCTCTGAGTGATTTTCAAAAATTTTAGCATGAGTTACATAAAACATCACGCACATCCCAATTGTCTTTGTCAGGCTTATTCCAATTTGTTCTTTCTTCCCTCAACAGCATATCTTGCTAAAATTTCATTTGCGCGTTTATATCAGCTCTTCTTATATATCCGTTGGGAAGTGGGTTCCCGCTACGAGAATTCACGTCACCAAACCTCGCAGCACGTCATTTTCTTTGTAAAAGACGCCGTAAACACACATTGCAAACTTTTCTAAGTGATGGCATTTTTGAAATTTTTTACATCCTAGAATTTTCTCACAAAAGCTCTGCGATACCTGACGTGGTGAAACCGTACTAAGTGGCTAAACCCCGTGTAAATTCTCCAACGGAATGAGTAATGAGTTCATTATCGATACGTTTTGCAGAGTATCATATCTAGAAGCTTTTCATGTCGGGTTCTGATGGTAAATAATGGTACATATTATCCGGTCGCTGTTTTCAGCACACGATCGCATCGAAACTTGTGATTTGTATATATTGATTAAGAAACTTATCATTGTACAGAAGAAAAAATCCTCACTTCAAAAAAGTCATCTTTTCTCAAAATTTATTTTGGCTTCTACTGAGTGTTTTACAAGTCTTTGAACCTGCATTTTTCTAGTCAAAACTTGAGCGGAGCAAAATAAACAGAAGAGGTATATTATGCAATTTATCATACAGAAATAGTAGGCTTATAGTTCAAATCATTTCCAGCAAAACCCCGGCCTTTCGAAAAAATACACTCACCGTGGAAGACGGGTAGCTGAAGTTGAGCTCGCCTCACGCCTTCTAACTACGAGATTTAGACCGTCCGCCTTGGTGTACAAAGTAAAGTCAGGGGTCTAGTCTAGATGATTGCGAACATGCCAATCTATAAAGATTTTTAAGAACGCAAATGGTCAAATTATAGCAATCAGCTACCCGAGAAATCAAGAAAAAGCAATTATTGTTAACCGACCCAACTTTCAAACAATATCTTGGTGAAAAAATGCAAGCATTTCAGCTGGAACGGATCTGACCAATGAGAGTTTTCAGCTTTTTGGATTCGTTTCCAAAAACTTTTTCTCAGTGGCGAATACTACTTCAAAACTTTGTTATTACCATACTGCTCGTAATTTTGTGAAAAAACGAGCCAGAGTCGCCCGATTCATGTGACATCACCGCAGCGTGGCCACATCTCGCTTCAGAGATGACGGATTCTTGATCCAAGGGCACCATTCGACTCAGTTCAGGGCGGCGCATCTTCTGATGTGTAAAAGTGCCCGCTTGGGCACAGTTGGAGTCAGTACAGGTTAGATACCACAAATCGTTCTAGATTTTTGCTTACGGTAGGTTACTAAGGTGCTTATTCATTGCATTCACTGGGCAACCTGCCGCAAGCAAAAATCTGAAACGATTGGTGGAAGATTGGTGGAGTCTGACCTTCTACTGTGTTCAAGCGGGCAATTCTATACATAAGAGAATGCGCCGCGCCAAGTTGAGTCGGATGGTTCCCCTTGGAATAAGAATTCGTCCATTCTGAAGCGAGATATGGCCAACAGTACCGTCACTTCGGGCGACTCTGTGTCGTTTCTTCAAAAAATATAATTTTAGAGCGTATTAGAGCGCAATGTATTTTAGAGCGAGCTAGCTCTACCATATAAAACTTTAAGAACCGCGAAAACTAACATCAGGGTAATGTTTGAACAGCTGGTAACATCGTTTATTTTGACCTTGAAATCCTATCGTTAGTAATGTTTGCTTCGAGATCCATTAACGAAACTGCACGACGCAAACAGTATCATTACATGAGGAATTATGACAACTGTACGATGAAATCATATGCAAAATTTTACTGACATAGATACGATAGAGATTGCAAAATCAGGTCAGGAAAGATCTGAGACCTGCACACTGAATTATTTATAAAGACTAGGCAAGGCATTCCGAAGCGATCTCTTTGACTGAGACAAGTCAACTAAATCTTGAGAGGAAATTTTGCCTATTTTAAGCTTAAGCCTAGAAAAAGAAGCAAAATTAAATTTTATTCATTCTTTTAGATTCTAAAAAACTAGGCATTAGCGATTTCTTTTTGGTAAACAATAATTATATGGAGTGGTTAAATATGGCATGCGCTTAAGGAGCAGGAAACCACCTTTTGATTGTAAATCTCCAAAATATTGCTTTCGTCACTATTGACGGTGAACTGCTATTTGCTTACGTTTCAAAGGATAAACAAGCTACTAGACCAGTGACTGACCTTTCTCACAGAAAGCAAACAGCCAAGTATTACTAAGAAATAGAAAGAAAAGCACGCCGTTAGTGCGTCTTTAACGCCGCTCAGAATCTGCCTTCTTTAACCGCAAAATACTGTCTTGAAGATTCTTGATGCTGTTACGACGTTACGAGTTACGACGAAAAAGTAGGCGTCTGTATCTTTGGCTGTGATCTACAATTATCTACCATAGTGTCAAATAAACAGGAGAAATACAAAAATCCCAACCGGGCTTTTGACACACACGAGATAGTACCGTTCGACGCACTTGCGTTTTTTACCGAGAAATGCCTCTAACAACGGTAACGAATCACATTTGAATCATGAGCATTTTGTGGGACAATCGGCGTAATTATGAGACGTCGCCAAGACCAGGTCGGATTAACGTTCGCCCCGTCCCTAAACCAACCAAGCCCTCTACCTTCTGGGGAGTTGGCACCGGAGCGATTTGGGAAGATAAAAGCACTAACGTAGTGGGCTATGGCTCCGTAGTCATTGTAATAGGCCATACACTGCCTTTTTGATTATGAAGTAGAATGCGTTCGGGGTAGGCATGCAGGAGGTTTTGGAGACGACAAAAGCGCGGCCTAATAGATTTTGCCCAAATGTTTAGATCTTGTTTACAATGATCCTGATATCAATTTGGAGCTTTTGTCGAAGACTTGAACAACATCTTTGGAACCTTTATGATTTGAGAGAGATAAATCAGTAGTTCCGTTTCTATTTCCTATTTCACTCAGTATGCGAAAACTCCTTTGAAAGGCACTTCAAAATAGAAAGATGAACGACTTACCGTAACTGTCAAACGAACCAGCATTCCTGATGAAGGTAAGCGTAATGTTTGGTAGATCTGAAAAAGCAATAGTCGTGTCAAAATTAATTTTAAGCATCGCATCTGTCGTTTGATCACGTAGGATACGGCTATAAAAGGGGGGCGTATCTGCTGAAATCATTCAGACATGGGAAATCCATATCTAGTAATCGCAGCGGTAAGTCCCATCAACTGTTCTGCTAACCCAGCACAACCTTCATTCCAGGTGGCTCTTTTACTGCCGAACTTGTGCGCAGGCAAGTCCAGCTGATAACAGTAGAACAATAGAATTTTTGCCTACTCAGGTGGTGTTTATAATATGCGTTTAGGGGAGGAGAATAATACTCAGTGCGAAGATGGTACGATGACGAAGAATGAGGTCGACTGCCAAATGCTCACTCTGATCAACACCCGACGAGCGATCTTGGCCTCTGGCACGCAATATAATGGGTTTATGAATCAACTCACGCAGGGAGAACAACCCAAAGTGCTTCCGCCAGCAAAGAATATGCGCAAATTGGTAGTTTTCATCTTAGAAAGTTACTGACAGAATTTTGATACCATAGTATTTCAGATGTAGGCGTAGTTTACCTAAACAAGTAGCAGTCCTGTCTTATGAGCACTGAACTGCTATGTATATGGCTTGGGTACCCACCAGCTAATATAGAGAACAGACTTGAACCTGCTATTATTAGGGTGTTGTCTCACAACTTTTTACCGTTTTTACCCTATGCATCAGCATTTCTCGAGAACTAGGGCACCTATAGAGGGCACAAATACATGGTCATACTTCTGTATGTATGAGCCATTTGATCACATGCGTGGGAGGAGCTCGGCACGTCTAGGGGCGGAGTTTGCCATTTTGCCTCTTACATTTTTTCCTTATTTCATACCTTGGGGCGAAAATACGATTTTTGACAGAAAAGTTCGTTTTCGACTACTATTACATTTCAGCTCAAAACTTGTGGGATACGATTTGGGCAGACTTTTGATAGCCATCTTGTAGAGCCTGCTTCGCCCTGTGAATCATTCAAGCCACATCAGATGAAGGAAAGATACAAAAAGACGGCGGTTGGAATAAAAAAGACAAAAATCATGAGAGATTCTAATATTTAGCTGATGTTGTATTTTGGTTTTGAAAGCACTGTGATGCCAGGCAAAGTCTTGAACGCCAAAGTTTGTAAAAAAAAATCATGCTTCCGATACTTTTTAATGATGGCTAATCAAATGTAGAGGATCAAGAATGGTCAGCACGATTTTTTATTTTTAGAAATGGAGCTGCGATCTTGAACAGAAAGCCAAAACGCGCGTAGAATCATATGCGGACAAATGCACAGACCCTTTTGACTTGCAGGATGAATCGGATGTCTTCATGACGTAAGAACTTTTTTCTTTTTGGCTGTTTTCCCTCATGAAGAGACTTTGCAAAACTTTGCCACAATTGTGGAAGATATTTTGGCTAAAGCCAATCCGCTCCAAATGTGACTTCCCTCTCAGTCAAAATGATTGTTGTAACTTTTTGCCAATTTCTCATTGTTTTTCTTCAAAGATTTTTGACTACGAACTCCTTCAGACTCTTTCAGTGATTACTTTGATCCTGATGGTATTACCGACCCTGTTTTTGATATTTCTGAGCAACTATGGCAGATTCTTAGCCCCATTGATAGCCAGAACCTCACTAGTGTTGATGACAGCGCCGTAAAGTATTCGGGTAATTCTGCTACAACAGACGAATCTGGACTAAAGGCATATGCAACTGTAAGTTCATGAAAACCTCTGTCTGATGCAGCTATCAAAAGCGTTTCAGCTAATGAGTTCTGAGGCCAAAGAAGTAGGATGCTCTTATGCTACATGCGACACTGCAACTCCAAAAGTCTTTTATTTTCTATGTATTACTGATAAAGGGTTAGTTTTAATTTATATTTGTGTTTGAAAGGTTTTTGTTTGAGTTGAGGTAATGTGGTGCTTAAATGTTTTCTATCAATGGTATGTAACTTGAAGCTCTTTTTCCTATGTCATTTTATTGAAAGCGTTTTTACATTGAATTATTTCTTACTAGATCAAGTGACTTAGAATGAAAGACAGTTTTTTAGTTTTTTAAACAAAGACAAAACTGCATAACACGAAATTACAGCTGCAAACACATTAGGACTAGAGCTTTTTCAGTAACTTTGTACTATCTCCTCTAAAGGCTGCGCTATGATAGGGGTAGTACATTCCTCTGCTCCTTCAATTAACTATTACAAAGTTACGCACTTTTGCCGTTTTTGGCCCTGGGTTTTATCATTTTGCTAGCCATTGCGAAGTTTTATTTTTCTAGGACGAAGCAAAAAAATGTTAACATTTTCACACAAATGTTAGCCCAATCTAGTGAATTCAGTGTACGCTCCACAATTATTTGAAGCAAAAGCAAGTGTTAAGCTTTTGCTTTCCACACTAAAGGAAATAAGACATTTATTGACAGAAGAAACTGTAGGGCTTTTCACTTTCGGCGGAAAGAAGTTCATGCAGTTCTGCAAAGGAGACTCTCTTTCAAAAACGAATTTGAAGGCACACACATTTTAAAAAAGACGTTATTGTGCATGATATGAAGTTGAATTTAGAAAACCGAGCATTAATCATAAATGAAACTAAGAAAAATATCGAAAAATTTACAACGCCATATAGGAACAAAGTAACAATTAAACGAGATGCCAGGGGTGTACCAAGCATCACGCATATACATTACCAAGAGCACATTCTTCAGTGCACAAGAGACAACGTAAAGACTTTTATTTTTGCAGAGAAATACAGCCGGGAGACACGATTTATGAAGTGGCTGAGAAGAAGGGTTGCAACTGCGATGAAGCTGGATTGACTTGCGATTCGTCCGGCCTGTGCGTCGAAGCAGTCAACACTACACAGGCGCCAACAGTGACAACTTCCGCCGCAGTTACCAGTGGGGCCGGCTCTCTAGCGCCTGAGACGACAACACTTCTATCCTTGGCCGAGTTCCCCGGGTCAAGTTCGGCAGGTGAGCCACTACTGAGGAGAGCAGTCAATCCAGAAATGACATGTGCTTTAAACCACGAAAAAGTCAGTTGATAGTGGCTGGAAATGATGCATTTTTTACCCAACGGTCTAACCAGATGAGCAATTTGAAACTTCGAGGTGCTGCATTTAAAAGAGGTTTTCTGAACTGTTGGTTAATATATAGTTTTCTTGCTGCGCTTCTGTGTATTGTTTGAGTCAAACTGTAAAAAGTGTGCACATAACACTTGTTGCATTCGTTTTAGTGTGGAAATTATTATCGCATACTACGCTCGCTCAAAGATTCAATGTTCGATTTATAGAAATAGGGTTCTCCAACGAAATATCTGTATCATCGCAACAGGGTTTTAAATGAAAATCAGATCTTGAAGGATGTATTAACTTGTAAAATTTCCTAATTATTCAATTTCAGAGCCAAGCACTTGGTGCACTTTTGGCGAAATTTCCGACACAATGAGAATGCACATGCAAGACACTCACAACTTCCGAAGGTATAGTTTCGTTATTGAGCTCAAAACATCAAAGACACAGCAAATCTTTTAACAGAATCCTAAACATGTGCCGTTTTACAAGGTATAGCACAAATTACGCTCTTTTAGATCAACTCTCGCCTTAGGACAAATTACAGATAACACAGGAGCCACATTACCGGCAGCCACAAACATGAATTACCTGGTCGGTTTTTATCGTCGTGCTATCAACCTACTCTGATTATCAAAATTTGTAGCACTGGAACTGCACTCTGGAAGAACAAGCCCACAAATTCCTCAGAAGCTGTCCAACGGAAGGTTACCAAAGACCGAGTGATGATCTACCGGCACAGAATTTCTATCGCCAAACAATTACTTCGAACGAGCCAACGTGGAGAGACATGAATAAGAAGGTGCATTTTTGTTGTGGAATTGAGGAAGCGAATAATTGGGTTTCAGACGGTTACGGAATGGTGGAAACCTGTGCGAAAGGTTGCCGGTCCAGGACAAAGTGCCAGATTCAGTCTTGCACACAACAGCACCAGCATAAGATCTTACACCCTAGTAAGTACGATGCATAATAAACAAGAGTTCCGTGTCTGGTTAATAATCACAATGGTCATTGCTTGAGATTGGCTTTTTTATGAAAAATTATTATTGAAGATGGGCTGGGCGGAAAGTCATCAAATGGGTTGCTCCATTGCCAGGTGCGGTAGCGATTGGGTGGAAGCGTGTCTCTATTACCCTCCGTAAGATCAATTTACAATTTTATTGAGCGCTTTTTGAGCAATGCTAATTCAGAGGAAACAAACCCGGCGCCCTGCAGTACAAACCTGGCAAGGCATGCTCTGAATGCAACACTCTTGGACAGGGACCATGCCAAGCTAGTCTGGGACTGTGTGACTCAGAGAAGTGAGAGCATATATTGTTTAAGTTGGGAAATAGTCGGGTATCTGTAGTTATTCTCGTTCTTTCCTATGATGATTTTTTTCAAAATAAATATTATACGGCATTTGTCCTTGTAAATGTTGTCGCTTCCACACAATAACTTTTTATAAAATGTGCTAAGAATTTTCCTTTCTTATAACTTCCAATCTTCGACTTGGATTTACAAAGTCTACCATCTCGCATAGAACTTATGCAAACAAGCAAGCGTTGAGGAAAAATTGTTCGATTTTGAAAGGGTGCTTCCAAACTGGGTGAGGGAAGTCGGAGTACACATCATTCAAATTGGGATATAGTCGAATATCTGTAATCATTCTCGTTCTTTTCTATACTGATTTTTTTTTCAAAAGAAATCTCTAACACGGCTTTGTCCCTACAAAATCTGTCGCTTTTGGCAGCAGCTTGTCATGAAATATGCTACCTTATCAGTACCTGCACACTGAAGAGGAGCGGGTACTTCTCCTATGTGGACCAAACTTCACAGGATGGATTGCTAACTTCTCCCTCTTGCCAAAGAATATTGACATGCTTAAGAGATTTTACCAAGAATTTGATCCAAAGTCATAAACCTAAGGCACGCGCCATACTTGATCCACTTGATCCGCTTGATCCGCTTCATCCATCGATATTGGTCATCATCAAACTGGCCAATAGTAAAGTGAATGAAGTAGATTAAGCGGATCAAGCGGATCAAGTAAGGCGCCTGCCTAAGGATGAAGCATCAACATATGAAAACAGGCAGCTTAGCGCCAAATTTTAGCCGTACTGCGCACTTGGTGTAAGCACGGCTTGGCGGGATCCCAGCGACTCATCCAGGATTTCAAAGTTTGTGTGCATAACACACATCGCACCGGGTGACTAGACCTCTCTCAACGTGATAAGGAGATAGTCCTTACAGGATATATGGATATTTTTAAGCTGAAACACTATCTTATGAGAAATGTTCTAAAGAATAGCTGCGGATAAGTACCGAAAAGCGTTTCGCCTAGGCTTTCAATCTTTGCGGATTGGGTTTTCCCTATAATAATTTTCTGTTTGCCGGTTGATTCGATGGCTTAAAGTCGAGTTTACTAAATAACAAGGATTTCTTAACAAAATTACTTGAACAGCGCGCTTCAAAAACTGTACAAGTATCAAATGGGTTTGCTTTGCTATTTCATACCCTTACACAGCAAAGGTTCGAAGACATGATGTATGTATAAAGTGCGTACGAGGTGCAGTTGAGCAAAATGTGAATTTTTCTTGATATTGTTTAGGTCTCTATTGCAGTGATTCTATAATACAGAGTGTTCCAAAAAAATGTGAACATTGTTTGATGGTTAATAACTCCCTTGCTTTTATGTCTTCCGCCGAGCTTTAGGCACCATTCTATAGAGCGAGGCCTAACTTAGATCTACAGTATGGAGCGAATCGTCGATCTCTCTTCATTAGGATTATGGTAGGAACTTTGACAAGGATTTCAAGCCGTTGAAAGCCATATTCTGCCTCGGAACAAAACCAAACAGGCCAAAAACTTTTATACATGGGTAATGGAAGCCGCTGAGCTCGAATATGAAATTTCCACTTCACTGTGACGCTTCTTTTTATGGTTATCTTAGGTAAACCTTAATGACCGAATTTCCAGCATTTGTCAAAAATGTGATTACACCGTCAAAAAGCTAAAAACACTCGTAAAAAGGAGCGTTATGGAATCAGCGTGCGCTAAACCCTTAGTACACGATTTTTCAGGTTTTTTTAAAAATTTGTCAAATGGCATATTTCACAATAGATCCATATGCCAGAAGTTCATATCGTAATCCTACAAAAATGAAGAGCGATCGATGATCCGCTCCATGCCACAAATCTAAGTTGAACCTCGCTCTACAAAATGGTGCTTCAAGCTCTGCGAAAAACATAAAAGCAACGGAGTTATTAACGATCAAACAGTGTTCACATTTTTTGGGGCACCCTGTATAATAGATAGTTGTTTGTGCAGCACGAGTAGCTTTTCTGCTAGTACAAAAATTGCTTTTGTCAGTTTTCAAACGCAAGAGACCAGAGCTGCAGTAGCGCTTGAGCAAATGTACAGGATTTGAAGCAGTGACACTGTTACCACAAACCCACGACTTTTGGCAAAATGGCACTGCATAACAAGTAACTGGGAGAAAAAAGTGTCATAGGCAACTGAGAATCTAACAGAGAAGAAAGAGTGATTTTACGGTGGCGTACCAGGAATCTCCAAAACTCAGCGCGTTTTCTTGCAGAGGTACTACTCAGCATCTGCAGCAAAACTTTAAACGGGCATCACACCTCCACAAAGCTAGAAAGCGGCTCCGCCCATTGCTCCGCCTTTTAAGTGCAATGGGTGGAGGGCTTAGATCGCCGATAGGCTTCACTCACACCATACAGCTAGCATGAGGCAGTGATGGTGAAGGCGTGAGGTTTGGTGAAGATTTCCGCGCAAGACCGCCCCTTTCGGCGATCTAGGCCGGTAGTAATCCCCCTGACCTGGTGGTATGTTTCGCCGTCAAGTCGCCGTCAACTTTACGTGAAATCGGTGTGAACACTGAGCTCGAATTTGTGCCCTCCCAACCCTTTTCACCACGCATTCCTGGTCGAGGAGATTATTGTGACCTTAGAGAACCTCACTTGGCAATTGGAATTTTAAACCCCCCCCCCCTAAACAAAGTCGCTGAGGTAGGCTGGAAGCTGGCAGCAACTTCGCGAGTTGATCTGGCGGCATCTCGTCGAATTTTCAGCGGTGAGAGATGCCGCCAGGTCATAGAGTACGAAAAATAGCGTGCTCTTTTGAGAGATTAAGGTGCCACCATTCCGACATGCCCCTACCATGTCGAACTGGTGGCACCTTGCTGGCGGCGTCTGTGAGTTTGCGTCGCGCTGCAATATCGCACAATTTACGTCCAGCAAAAAAACCAAAAAATTTATTTTAGCATCGTAAAATTATCATTTTTGCCATTGTATGGGTTTTTCTCCTTAAAATTTATAATACATGTGCACAAGAAACGACTACTGATGTTATAATGCCATAAAGAACGCCATTCATTTTGCAACTGCTTTAATTCTCATTTGCAACGGTTTCGTCTCTCGCTCGCTCTTATCAATCAGCTGTTTTTTCAGGTCAACGTCCATCGCGCTTGTATTGATCATGCTCACATAGGCGCTTACTACTTAGGCAGCGTTTCTAAAATTGCTGCCGCTCAATTTCAGAAATTGAACGAGTGGTCGAATGGTTAGTGCTGCGGCGCTTGAGGTTGACGCACGCAGGTTCGAACCCGCGCGATGTCGCTGTTTTGCGGCTATCAGCGTTGTCAAAATTTCATGTGCGTAGGACTGCGGAGTAAAATTAATTAAGATGATTAGATCAATCGCGAGCTGCCGTCAGAGTTGGCAACCGTGATGTGTGCCAAGTTGGCGGCATCTATTAGGTCGTGTATTAAGTTCTGTCCCATTTTTTAAAGTTTTTTCTTGACAACATTGACTATGTTTGAGAAAAAGTGTATATGCTTTTAAAAGCTCTAAGTCTGCTCTGCAGGCTCATATGCATCATTCCCCAACATAGCAGGAAATTGAAAAAGATTCTTATCCATGAAACAAAAAATTTAAAGAGCCGAAAAATCAATTTTTCACATTTTTTTTCTTCCAAATTTTCCTCGATTTTTTTTTGCTAAAACTTTTCAAACAAGTGACAACAACCAAAACAATCTATTAGAATTTTGAACTTATTCTATCACTGTTTGCGCATTTCCCTTCCTTCCACTGGCTATTTAATGACATTTTTTTAAAGGTCGGCAAGACAAGACTATGTCACGGCGATGTTCGCCGTCTCGAGTACCCAAGCTGTATGGCTCCCAATATTCAAATTCCGAGTATTTAACCTACGAATTTAATAATTTTGAAGCCACAAACCATCCCTTCTGTCTTTTCTGGATGATCCGCCTACCGTCTTCCCTCAGGATGCCTTCAGATGCTGCCCAACACCAACGTTGAAAAGGCTTAAAATGAAGACTTTTCTGAAGCCTCAGAAACGATTTTTGAAAAGTTTCAGCACTCTTGAAGCGCGATAGAAGCTAGAGTATTCTTTGCTTACGTAAAGCAAATTCTGCATGCTTCGTAGGCATTCTGACTAATTAAGAAGACGACGTAACGCAGTTGTCAAAAATGGACTTTTTCCCTGCTTGATTTTCCAAATTTAACGCTGTAAAACTTTTTCAAGTCATCTGATTTAGAAAACCGAAATGAAAATTTTAGTAGAGAAGACTTAGAGCTTTCAAATGCATGTAGACAATTTACAGAACATCGCGCAAAATAATGAGAAAAAATCGAAAGAAAAAACTTATTACACAACCTAATATGATGCCACCAAGTAGGGTAGATTACTACCGGCCCTAATGTCCTCTACCCGCTCCTTGCGAACCACACGGACAGTAAGGTGTGCTACCTTGTAACTATGGATGACGGTAACGACTTGCAAAATCTTCCTGATTTCCATTAAAAGTCGGTGGCGAATGACGAGAGCTTATTCAGAATCTTAAAGGCACCGTCCACCCTAAATTGGGAGTTTTGAGCTTTTGGCAGCGTATGGTAGTAGGGCTCCCTATCAAGCCGATGCCCAATTCGCGGCACAAAATGTCGCTTCAGAAGCGAAAACATCGCTCCGGAATAACGAAAATGCACGAGGACCCCCATCCATGCCCGCCCATTTGTGCGCGCCCATCCAATCACTCTCCCGGAAAGCCGTCCTGTGGGCTCTCCGAAACGGGGATTTTCGGGGGTTTTGCGGATTTTCGACTTCATATTCGGAATCAGGGACGTGAAAAAGCCCTAAAACGACATGAACCTCGAATTCGAGAATCTGGGTGGACGGTGCCTCTAAGCTATTTACCAACTGTGAGTGTAATATTCCTCCAACCACCAATGCTCGCAATCAAGAACGTTTTTGAGGCTATACTGTTGATTTCTTTGAACCAAAGAAGTTACCGCGTGATTTAGCCAATACAAAATATATAAAAGAGAAATTATCAAAATTATCAAGGCTTCACTTCTCATCTTTCTAGATCAATCTGATAACA